GCCAATGCGTAATGCGTCGCGCAATGCGCCCTTTGCGCTTTTGGCCTCCGCCCCCTACGGTCGGTGCCAGCCATTGTTCGCCTACTATCACCGCGCTGAGCGGTCGCGTCCCAGCTGTCTGCCTAGCTGCCAGGTAAGTCATTGATGATTGTGCAATAACTTGCAGCTGAGGTCCCTGCTTGGAACGGGTACTACGTTGTCCCAAGGCTGGCATCCGGTGGCAGGTCGGTCTTCACACCGGGCAACGCAATGAGGCCAGCTAAGGCGAAGGGGCACGTCGCCCCTGAGTCCATGCTGGTGGAGCGCCTGTCATACCAAAGCCGGTCGTGTTCCACCCCTGCTCCCCGTCTGGGAGCAGCCTGTCATCATGCCCCAGCGAGGACACGCCGACCGTAAGGTGCCCATAGAAATGGTCCCGAGCGGGATGGGGGTCTAATACGTGCAGTCAGCTGGCCTGGTCTGCCCTTGAGCGAGGTGGCCGAGGGAGATCAGAGGTGATGGTAAGTTACTGCGTATAATAAATGTATTGTTTATATGCTGTGTTCATGTTCATGTGGGTTTTGCCCTAATTCTATGTGTTCATTGTATATGTTGTTTGCGCCATGGTTGGCAAGGGTTTGGCGCCTTGGTTCTGACCCGGGAGCTGCGGGAGGCAGTAGGGACCCGTTAGGAACCCCATGGTCCCCGAGGGGTTGGTCCGCTTCTCCTGCGGGGTGCGCAGGAGAGGTGTTGTGGACCCGATGGAAAGTCCTTGGACCGAAAGGTTCAAGGCGTCAGGAGTTGCTAGGCAGAGCCCACCGATGCGGATCGCAATAGGCTCAAGCCCCGTTTGCGACATATTCGGTCGTAACGAAAGGAGGGGGTCAGGTGTATAGAGAGACTGGGGGCTGCAAGGACGGACTTGAAAAGTGCAGGTTGGCCCTGCGACTGTTGCACGATGATCACCTCTAATGTTGCCAGGAGCCTCTGCCCACCGTGCCGTGCAGTTGCGCGGAGAGTCACACAGACAAGAGCACCAAGCGAGCATTAGACCATGCAGAGAATTATGTCTCATCGTTAGCCATTATTATCCTTAATTCACGGACGGCGCTTTTGCTCCAGCATAGATCAAGATTACAACAGCCAAAAACTTTGTTAGTGTGGTGCAAAAACATTGGTTTCTGTCTTCGATGATCGAACATTCCTGAAATTCCCAAGGAGACAAAGTGTAGAGCAGTTCATGGGGAAGTGAAAGCAAGAGTACCTACAATAGTGACAAGTACATTGCAACTCAGTACGATACTAACCTTCTTCAGGAAAATGGAGGACTTTCAAATGCGAGTGCGACTTCTGTCCACAGACAGGTGCACGGCGTATACCCGAGCAGGCGTTTTCCCATAAAAACGCCTTCTCTGTCAGCGGCCGTGAGCAGACAAACTTCCTGAAGAGAATTTCGATGCTTTCAAATCAAATCTAAGCGGAACAAAGTGTAGCGAATTTGCTGAATTGAATTCTAGAGACCCCTTAGGAAAATTGAGGCAGAAGAAAGAATTTCAGAAATTTCAACAAAGTTTCCACACCTAGTTATGAATACATCTTCGATCTGTAGATTCTAACAGACTCTACCGCTTTCTCATCACATTAATTTTGAAGGAAGTTATGGGCCTTTGAAGACTGCATAGTCGCGGTCCAGGAAAATGGCTTGAAAAAAATCAAGGGAAAAAACGGAACAACGGGACTATTTTTTGAGCGAGTGATTATTTCAAAAAAGTTTTAGCACTTATTCGGAAGCTCTAATCTTCTAGTTTCTAATTAGCCTTAGACATCTGCAAAAAGTTGATATGAAGAAAGTTATGAACGTTTGAATGTCGAAAACTCGCGCCTTCTCAAAAATCGGACCACAAACCCCCAAAAAACGGAACAACGGGACTATTTTTTGAAAAAGTGATCGCTGGAAAATTTTCAGGTGCTTGTTCGAAAGCGCTAATCTTCTAGTTTCTAATTAGCCTTAGACATCTGCAAAAAGTTGATTATGAAGAAAGTTATGAATGTTTGAATGTCGAAAACTCGCGTGTGCACAAAAACGGAACAACGGGACGATTTTTTGAAATATTGAACATTCCACAACATTTCAAATACTTTTTAGGAAGAAAACTATTTGAATTTTTAAAATTTTGGTGTCCGGTTCCATGAGACCGCTTCTGAAAGAAAAATATAACTTCTGAATGGAGGGGTTTGGATTGCAACGTAATTGCTACAAGGTTTAGTTTTTCAGATTATAAAAAGGAAAATTGAGAGATCGAAAAAAAACTTGGTAGGTTTCTGAAAGTAGAAATCTTTGTGATTATTATCATGTATTGGTTTACGCAAAAATTGGGAAATTCCTTCTATTTAATGAATAAAACTTCATTTGCCTCGATTCCCTCCTCTGAGCGAGACAGAGCGCGCGGATTGACCACGGTCCACCACTTCTCCATGTTGGTGACTGCCCACACATCAATGATGAGCATTAAATTATGTGAAAGACATAATAGTTAAACGGGGGGTCGTACCGATACCCTCCGAAAAGGAAGGGGGTCGTAAAAATTTTGGAATTTGCGCAACGCAGGGTAATTGGACTCCCTGCTTGAAAGTATTAGGAGGTAAAGAAAAGGATGCTTCGGAACACTGATTGCGAAGGGTTCTGCAGTATGCTATTAATTGACCAAAAAACACTTGGTGCTACGCTCTGGGTTTGATATCGGATTTTCGTATAAGTACGTACACGAGCTTTGATACCCAGCGTTTTGGGGCCTGAGAAGGCAAAACAATTGACAATAATTCTTACCATAGACTGAGAGTGTCAACACTAAATCGAGCCATCCTATGTACACTGAAAGAAACAACATACATAATACATACATTAGTGCAAATGAGATCATTCGCCTTCCTCTTCATGCCATTTTTTCCGTTTTTCTGCAGGTGGAGGCATGTCGCCAAAGAGCTTAGCTTGCAATTCTTCATAGGACATCGAAGCGAACTCTGAACG